CGGACTTAGCCGCAACCAACAGACTTCTATTTCCTAGGCTTTTGGGAGGGGAGGGTTTAGAGGGATAAAATCTAGAGAGAGAAGGAAGAATGGGTTGTGGTGTGGAGAAATGAGAGGGGAAGGGGGGTATTTATACCCAACAGACCGCACCCTCCAGGGGCGCTCGGGTAATTTTATCCTCATGGAAACCGCACCTTGCCGAGGCGGTTTGCATTTCCCGAGAGTTGACCGCACCTCGGAGACGCGTTCCCCGATCCGTGGCGCGGATAGCTCGCTGGCACGCGTTCAGCGGTCGGATCGTGCCCCCATCCAACGGTCTTCAAGACCGTTCCACAAAAACTGAAGACCGCATCTTGGGGCTGCGCTTCGCGGGCTGACGTGGCACGGAACGCACCTCTAAGGTGCTGTTTACACATGAAACGCACCTGAAAGGTGCGGTTCGTTAATAAAACGCACCCCTAAGGTGCGTTCAGTTAGAAAAGGTGCTACAATTGTAAATTTTTTTATTTGGGCGCTAGTTTTGTAATTTTTTTTAATGGTGCTAGAATTGGAAAAAACTCGCTTGTTTCGTGATACGCTAGTGGATCACCGGAGACAGAGAACAGCCCGCCAGAGGCTCACCGGACACCATCCCCTCTCCCCGGTAACCGCCAGATCCTTTAAAACACATTAACTATTACGATTAATGGGATTAAGTCCACCCCTCCTCAAAACAGTTATAGGGCAACATGTCCAGCAACGACTTGTACCTAAAATGCCGTTAATGGGCTTTTAAATGGTCTATTCAATGACAAGTTTGAGCATTCTAAAGCTCCAGTAAACAGAGCCTCCCACGGCTTTTGTATTCGTCATTATGACAGACGTGATTCAAGGAGAATCTCAAATCAAAATGCTTTCAAGCCGTTATTCAATAGTCAATACCAATCCTTTTCATATTGATGGTAGAACGTTATGACAAACAAAGATTTTCGTCGGGAAGTCTTACCTGCTGTATTAATTAGTCATTTTAATGACAGATTTGAGCACTAAAAAACCTAGAAAAACAGAGCCAACTTCTGCTTTTTCGAATTAGACCCGCCGGGATTGCAGGGCTTGGCCGCGACCGTTCCTCTCTCGCGAGTCAACTCAAGTAGCCCTGCTTAATTATTACCGCGAAACAATTCTCCTGGTAAATATCTGATGATATTGTTGAGGTTTACTTCACAAACCCGCTTATTTTCAGATCTCCTTGGATTCTTGTTCAGCCGATCGGGGAAACGATGAGATCCAAAGATTGTAAATTTTCTTTCGAGGTGATTTGTTCCTCTGATTACGATGTATATGGTCGGATTGGCCTCTCTGCCACCGAGGTGTAGTTGCTCCTCGACAACGTTGGAAAGGGGTAACGCCGAGGTGTGGCAAAGCATCCTATTGCAATTGGTCGGCAATGGTTTGTTGCAACAAACGGCAGCAAAACAGCAGACAGTGACTTCGCCGGAAATTCCCACTCCGACGGGGACTAAGGACCATTTAATTGCTCAAAGTAATGGTTTCTTGCCAGAGGATTAGTTTTCGATTAAGACAACAATTAATTGGTTTTCAATTTTTATTGAATGGTATAACATTCATAATTCATGTTTCCGTTTCCTAACAATTAGTGGGCCTTTAATTATATTTATTATTATTATTATTAATTTTATGGGTTCATTTAGCATAGCCCCTCCAATACATCTGAACAGGTCGTACATGATCGTCATACTACCCAGAGTTGTTAACATGCACTTGGGTGCTAATCATAGGAATCATAGTGGAATGTCGACGGTCGATCTTCTATGCCTTATCGTCGAGCCAAGAAAATTTAGCAAAGAATAGCTTTTATACAGTAAAATATGGTTACCATTTGGTTTTGAATCTTCTTCCTAAGATAGCTTATTCCAAATAACTCGTGGATTTAACTGCTTCAATAAATGCTCCTTGTGCGGGAGACATTAAGAGAGCGTTGAACACTTATTTTTCAAACCCCCAGCCACCGAGTTGAGGACATTAGTGGGATTGAGCAACTTCATTAATTCCGCCCCGACTATTATTTTTAGTCTATGGTGTGGAAATTTGTCATGATCTCTAAGATCTCCCAATTCCACATTCTCCAATGCGTCTAGTAACTTTGGAGAGTCTGGAAGTATAAAAATAAAATGACTTTTGAATTCTACCACCTCATGTCTGATCCCTCGCCAACAACTCTCTACTAACAGGTCCTTGGCGTCTCCATTTTCACCCCCTCCTCCGCCCCCAATCGCTCCTCACAAATCCTCCTCCTACAACCTGGAGCTTCGACCAGACAATTTCTTGAAGACCAATATCGATGCAGCTGTTCGTGACTCAGGGTGCTCATCTGGTCTTGTTACCCTTGGGTCATACGGGCATGTGGTGTTGGCAGCCAGTGTGCGTCACCATGGAAGGTGATTCTGAGGTGGTCGTCAACCAAATCCAGCAAGGTATCCCAGAAGGTTCACTTGGGGGGCCGGTGCTCCGGGAGTGTCGTCGGATCCTAAACTCTTTATCCATTTGTACAAAGTTTAGGGCGGTATCTAGAACCGCCAACAGTACTGCCCATAGAGTGGCGCTTAAAGCACTACTTTGTCTCTTCTAGAGTTAAGAGTTTTTTTTATTTTATTGGGGTAGGGTGTCGCTTGTAGGGAGTTTCTTGGTAGTTTTGCATGTATAACTTTTGTTGTCTCTTGATATCACTCGAAAATAAAGAAAATATATATATATATATATGGTAATGACTGGTGTACGTCAGGCATATAGTGAATTTGTAGATAATGCTTTAGAAAACGAAAAGAAAAATGGTACACCGCAACATCAAACGCATAATAAAGAAATAAGGCCGTGTCACTCCTACATTAAACGTCACTAGTTATTGTAAACAAATAACAATTATTAGTGTGAAAGATGTTGTATTTGTTCATAGATCTGGCAAATTACAATCCGACCCGTTGATTCGACCCGAAACCGCCCGAAAATTAGAAATTTTTGTAACACGAAATCCGAATGACCCGAACCCGATAACCCACAATTTTTTGGGTCGGGTTGGGTGGGTTAGAGGGTCGACCCGTTAGACCCGTTCTATTTAATATATTACTCCAAAAATATGATAAAATCACTCATAAATTGGTGAGATGTTTAAAAAAAATCACAAGGATTTGAATGAGATGTTTGGAGTTTAAGGATAATCAAATATCATGTGTTTCTTGTAGTAGATTACTCTTCTGATTGTTTTTTGACGATTTGTGCAATTTATATTTCATTTCATTAGCGTGGGAGAATTTGAGAATATGTTAATTGACATGTGTTAGGTAAACTATTGTCATGCATATGTGAAAATTTGTGTTCTTTAAGAAAATATGAAGCATGTATGATATGTTTCTGAGAACGGTCATAACCCGAAATGACCTATAACCCGAACCGAAACCGAATGGGTTGGGTCAATATTTGATCCGAAATCAGCCAACCAAACATGACCCGACTCGTAACCGAAGTTCCCGACCCGAAATTACCCAACCCGACCCTATTGCCAGGTCTATTCATAATCATAATCATAGGACAAGTTGTGGTTGAATTTGCCAGCCTTTGATTTTATTTTATTTTATTTATTTTATGGACAGCTGTTAGTTGTTGGCCTGTTAATCTCCTGATTAAATTAATGTGAGGTCAGTTTTGTCATCTAATGACCCATTAGATGTATCTAACAGGGTAGATTTGATAATGGTATATGAGGGTGAAGTTTACTTTAAGGAATTATGTCACTTGATAGTATGAACTTGCTTATTACTAATTTACTATCACGAGAATCCAATCCAAACGTGTTTGCTAGAATCTGGTCATTAGGTCACGACGAGTTTCGTGTATACATGAAGAGATTTACGGCATATATTCGTAAAATAAAATGCATACTAATTTACCCCTAATTGATATAGAACTTTAGATTTGTAATTTTTTTTTTTTACAGAATTTTAATTTTCATTCAATAGCTAATATTGACTCAATAATAATCATAAGGGATATTACGACAGAATCTTGGTCATTCGTGATATATAATTCATAATTAAACTTCTCTCAACAACTCGATTTATTGAAAACAACTGGTTCTTGAAATAATATGTGAGTTTCCAGTAAAAAGGGTTTTCTCTTTAGATATTCAGACCTATGCAAACTTCAAGTCAATATATGGGGACTCTGGTTTGTGGGGGTGTGTTAGTAACTGGTATATGAGGTTACAACAACTCAAATTATTGAAATCAATTGGTTCTTGACACACACAATAAATCGAGGTACAAAAAGGTTACAACAGACAATGCTTCTCCAATTTTATGCAGTAACATACTAATTAGGAAATTAAGCATATAATAAATGCTTAAATATGAAACAAAGTTCCAGACACATCGAAACTAACATACTAATTAAAAATTGAAGCATAAGCATTGAAGAAACAACGTATAAATGAGGACGATGAACATCAATCTGTCTCTTCCAAGTAGCGGCACTTCTTTGGTACCGTGACTGCACCGGTGCCGTCTCATTATTGTGGCCGGTTTGATTAATATAATTGTGATTTGGAATGGTTGAAACCAGACAGATGGGTTATTATTTTGGGTGGGTCTGATTTAGCTAATCACCAGAGCAGAAATCCACCACCATATCATCGCCGTTAAGCGTCTTGTACCGACCGACTATCCCCACCAAGATCTCCAGCCCCTAGTCGGTCGATCGAAATCATCTCTGCCGCAACAATCCACCCCCAACATCATATCATATGGTCCCCGATCGGCCAAGTGTCAAATTGCAGATTGGCTGGGATTTCTTCAATTGATCTGCTACTTGTAGGATTTCCTTTTTTCTTTTTCCATGTGTTAGTTATATATGTATTTGCTTTGGCTTTGATAGTTACACTTACCAACGTACAAAAGACACAAGGCCTGTCTTTTCATTTGGCCTTGCCATCCTCTCACGGCATTACATCATATGCTACGGGAATCAAGTGCAAACTGTGTGTTTCTTCTAACCGCAATACCAGAACACTCGGTCATATCAAGATTCTCATGGGTAATTCCATTAGGGAGTTTCCACTCAAAATGATATAGTAAATTTGTCAATGTCAATTTTACGGCAGCCAATCCAAATGATAATCCAGGACACATCCTCCTTCCAGTATCAACAAAAGGGATGAATTCCAAATTATTCCCATTATAATCGCTTGGGCGATCAAGGAATCTTTCTGAAATGAATTTATCAGCTTTTCTACAACACGGGGATCTTGCCCAATGGCCCAAGCATTAATGATAACTTTAGTTTGGGAAGGAATCTCATAACCAAGGATCTCCACACTCTCTCAGCCTTTTCTAGGAAGAAGTAAAGGAAGTGCAGGGTGCAATCTTAAACTCTCTTAATAACTAAATCCAAGTAAGTGAGACTATGAAGATCCTCCTCGTTGACATTTATTTTATCGCGAAAGGTTTGTCTCACTCATATTGTGCTCTTTGCATTACACTTGGATGTCTTATCAATTCAGACATGGTCCACTCCACTATTGTTAATGCCGTTTCGGTACCACCAAAAAACATGTCCTAAGAACAACGATGATAAATCTAATTAGAAAAAAGAATCTTGTAAAATAGAGATATTGCAACCTCAGCTCCCAATCAACTAGTGTCAAAGCCAAGCCATGGACTGCCCCTTGCCTAAATAGTATTTTTTGGACACTTTGAGTTGTATAACCGCGAACCACCAAGGAGTGACTCAAGCAATAAGGGATGGGTACATTGTGCAATTCATATAGCCTAATATTTCAATCTTCAAACTGAGCTAATATTAAGGGTTTTCTTGAACATACATCGTAGGGCACGAAGTTCTATTATGCTAATTGAATTAGGCCGTGAGCTTAAAAATAAATGTTTACTAAACAATTGTCTAAACTCCAAATTTATCAACCCTTCAATTTATACCTGAAACGAAAAAGAATTCCAAGTCATACAGTTTACTAATGTTTTGGGTTGTTATATCAAGTATTTTTTAGACCTCTTCAAATTGTATACATTACAATGCTTCAGTAAACACTTATATGATGATGTGTCACAATATAATTCTCAGGCTTGAAATTTCTTAGCTAATTCTATTTGAAGATTCCGAATTTAGTGATTCTATGTCTCGATATTTATATTGTACTAGGTGGCGATGTCGCGCCTTGTTGCGGGGCGGAGATGGCCTATGGCCATATATTATGTGGCCCGTTATGGTATTTTGTTAGTATTATTAGGCTAAAATTAATTTTTTTGTTAGTCATTTTGTTAGTAATATTGACTTGGCAATACGATATGAACTGAGGATATATATGGTGGTCAACATCCAATTTAATTTTTTTTGAAAATTTTGGTTAATAAATAATATTTACCTAAACCCAAGTAGACTCATTGATTATGGGTAGGGTATAGGTGACGTATATATGGTTTGAAAGTTTGTAGATGGTTTTGGATAGGGTATGGATATTTACTTTCATAATCTAAATGTGTATGAGTGGGTATGGATACCCAATTATTCGAGGGTGTTTTAATTATACATACAAAAATTAGACCTACATATAGAACTTTAAAAGTTTAGGTGCCAAAATATGATACACAAAAATTTTAGGTACTCAAATGTAATGTTTCATTAATATTTTAAGGACTTGTATGCCAAAAAAATAAATTTATGTTATAAAATCTAAATATCTATTAAGTTTAGGTACCGAACTTTAATTTGCATTATTGAGGCATAATTTCTTTTATACTGATGTATTTAAGATGATAATTATTTACTTTTTATAGAAAAATGAAAACTATTTATTTGATATGTGTAGATACCTAACTAAACATTCCATATATAATTGTTGAAAATTCTAGTCTAGGTGAAAAAGAAAAACTCTAGAGAGAAGCAAAAGGATTACAAACTGGAACTCGCTTAATAATTCACGCTTTCAAATCTCATAGTGGAAAATGAAGAATTTCTAATAAGTAATAACCATATACATTTATTTTTAATTTGACTCAACATTGAGCTGAAAAAGTTAGTGGTTTATAGTTCAATTATTAATTCTCTAGACTGTTGGTGAGTCGTGTACGACCAGTTCATACTTGTGATTAGAATACATAAAAATAGTATACTAATTAGGGTTAGACGAAGAAGGCAAAGATAAATAAAGGGTTACGGAAGGCGAGTGAAAAATGAAATGAAGAGGAAGTAGATGATGGAAAGATTTTGACCATTTTTTGTAGTTGACCGTCAATAGAACAATCAACCATTTTCACCATACCAATTTATTGACACTTGCTTATGTAGATCTGGCATATTTTGTTACATGTAGTTAGTAGAAGCTTGTTAGTACCCCATAAATGTACTAAATGAGTTTATAAATTCACTCTTGCAATATTTTAGAGTCGTCTCTCTTTTATCATTTATTTAATATTTCACATAATGAACAAATATAAAATGGTGCTTCACTGGTATTTACGGATGGGCATATAATAGGGACCATGCTCAAACATGGAATCTATAAAGGCAATTGCATACAGAAAGATAGAGGCCTTGGCTATGTGCTGGGGTTTTCAACTAGACCAGATATTCTCAAATGCGGAAAAAATGGGAGGAAGACAAAAAAACAGAGCAAGAACTGATGGGATTAAATAATGCCCTCGCAGATTGCGGCCTTGTGGATTTGGGATTTGTAGGCTATCCATTCACATGGGATAATAGAAGGGATCCGCCGAAATTGATTGGGGAAAGGCTTGATCGAGCTATAGCAAACAGAGAATGGATGGATCTCCAACAAAAAGTGATGGTTTTTCATTTTGAAGAAGTGGTTTCCAACCATACTCATATTCACATTGACAAAGAGGGAGACAAGGAAGATGATATAAGGTGGGGAAGATGTTTCATATCTGAAAGCTTTTGGGCTAAAGATGAAGAAAGTCTATTGGTGGTTAAGGAATCCTGGGAAAGATCAAGGAACAGAAGCATTACTGAAGGATTCAAGGAATGTGAAACTGATCTTATTGCCTGGAATGAAGCAAAATTTGGTTCTATCCCGAAAAGAATAGCGCAACTACGGAAGGAAAGAAGAATCATGAAGACACTGCCAAAAGATAGAAGTTGGAGATCAAGGAAGAGAAAGCTGAAACTTGAACTACAAGATTTGCATTACAAAAATGAACAACGATGGAAACAAAGGTCGAGATTGGAATGGCTAAAGGAAGGAGGAAAGAACACAAAAGTCTTCCATGCGAGGGCAACTGAAAGAAGAAAGAAGAACAAAATTCGCAGACTTCGCAATGATCAGGGGAAGGTCTCTATTGGACAGGAGCAAGTTACAGACTGCCTAGTGAGTTACTATGATTTTTAGAAGAAGTGAGCCTCCGGCAGAATGGCGAGCAGCGAAGACAATTGAAACAAGAGTAACTGCAGACATGAATCAAATGTTGCTTCAGCCTTTCACCAGTGAAGAGATACAAACTGCCCTATTTCAGATCTGTGCGACTAAAGCCCCGGGGGGATGATGGTTTTCCAGCCCTCTTCTTCCAGAAAAACTGGGGAACGCTTGAACCAAGACTTACCAGAGGACTAACTGAGTTTCTGCAGCAAGGTACTTTTGCCGAAACACTCAATCATACTCTTATTGCTCTTATACCCAAAGTAAAACACCCATCCTCCTCTAAAGAGCACAGACCGATTAGTCTGTGTCCAATGGTCTATAAAATTCTGTAAAAAAATAATTGCTAACCGATTGAAGGGGATTATTGATAAGCTGATCTGAAGCACAAAGTGCTTTTGTTCCAGGAAGATCGATTACATATAATGTCATTACTGTGTTTGAGTGCTTCTTTGCGATGAAGAAAAAGACAAAAGGGAAAAAGGGATCTATGGCTCTTAAACTTGATATGGCAAAAGCCTATGATTGAGTTGAATGGCACTTCCTTGAACAAGTAATGAAGAAAATCGATTTTGATGATAGGTTGATTAATCTTATTATGAACTGTATGTCTTCTGTCTCATATGCAGTTCTTGTTAATGGCCATAAATCCAATTTTTTCCATCCAAGTAGAGGTCTGAGGCAAGGAGATCCGCTTTCCCCCTACCTTTTCTTACTCTGCTCAGAAGGCCTCTCAGCTATGATCAATGAGTATGGGCAGTGTGGGATGATTCATGGTTTGAAAGTTTGCAATAAAGCTCCTGTTATTTCACATCTTCTGTTTGCTGATGATTGCATTCTTTTTGCAAGAGCTAATCTGGAGGAAGGAAAAAAGCTTAAGGAGATCTTGGAAATTTATGAGAAGGAATCGGGGTAGAAAGTCAATCTTAACAAATCAGAAGTTTACTTCAGCAGAAATATTGATGAAAATAGGAAGCTTGAAACATGCCAAGAACTGGGTATCAAAAAGGTTGATAAGTTGGCAAAGTATCTTGGTCTCCCAACAATGATAGGAAGATCAAAGAAACTGGTCTTCTCCACCCTGAAGGAAAGAGTTAGAAGCAAGCTTACCAACTGGAAGAACGATTTTTCTCAGATGCAGGGAAGGAGATCCTTATTAAAAGCATTGTACAAGCCCAAACGGCTTATGTAATGTCTGTTTTCAAGATCCCTGATGGTATCGTTGATGATCTACACAACATGATGGCAAAATACACATAGGGGCAGAAGGGTAATGAGAGAAGAATACATTGGAAGAAATGGGAAAGAATGTGCAGAAGAAAGGATGAAGGAGGCTTGGGCTTTAGAGATATGAGAATTTTTAACAAAGTTATGCTTGCAAAACAAATTTGGAACCTTCAATCCAGACCAGATTCTCTTCTGGCAAAGCTGTTGAAGGCAAAATATCACCCTAAAGTAGTATTCTTGAAGCAAAGTTGTGGTGGAGACCAAGTTACATATGGAGAACCCTTGTAGGAGCTTTGGATCAGGGGAGGATGTAAAGATATGGGTGACAAGTGGGTGCCAAGTCTTGAAAATTTCCAGGCCTACTCCTACAGCCCTTTTATGGACATTGATTCAAGAGTCTCATGCTTAATTGACCAAGATACGAGGATCTGGAGAAGAGATCTATTTGAGCTTATTTTTACTCGGGAAGAATAGGAAGCCATTCTAACCATTCCTCTTTCGTCTACACTAGAAAAGGACCAACTTTGTTGGACTGGTAATGAGAATGGGAAATATACTGTGAGAAGTGGTTATCATCTGGAGATTGGAAGAGTTATTGAAGAGGACGCAGGT